ATATATATATAATTATTAAGAAAACAGACAACTTTAAGTTTTACATGATTATAATTTATTTCCCCAGGACCGAGATTCGATCCTAATTCCTCAGATCGTTCATTTCCATACAAATAAATCTTAGATTTATTTGTATGAAAATGGTCGATATGTGGAATTAGGATCGAATCTCGGTCCTGAGGAAATAAATTATAATTATACATCTTTTAAGTTGTTTGTTTCTTAATAATAATTAATGCTTGCTCTGTTCTTACATTGAGCTCTCTGGATTATATTCTCTTTGGAATTATCCATACGGATTACCAAACAATATCATTAACTATATATGTATATATACTTCGTCCTCAGATCAAAGCGAATCTGAGTCATACTTTTGCAACAAGTATTTATAAACTTAAATAAGTTTTTCAATTTTAAAAATTAAGAACAGTCATAAATATTAAAAAAAATGAAAAATTCTGAAAAACTAACGCCATTTTTACTTCTGTTTAAAAATTAATTGTTGCAAAATAAAATCCTTACATTTGCTTTGAAAAAGTCCATCACAAGACGAAACGCGTCGGCTAAGATAAGTTTTCCTTTTGTTGTTATTCATATTGTATTTTTACAGATATACATTTTAGTTATGCCTGTAATTTTACACACAGACACAGATACAGACATATACACACATACACACACATACACACACACATACGTTTTTAGGAAATGGATTAAATCTGACATATTTGTAATTTATATATATATAGAGAGATATATATAATATATTTTATTGTTATACTTTATTATTATAGACACGAATATTGAAATAAATCCTCTGTTTATAATAAACAGTATTAACAACATTTACCGACCTGAATGTCCGAGAAAATTCATAGAAAATATGTGCCCTTCAACAGAAATCTAACCTCTATTCTACATAGAATAGTTATATAACCTGGCGTGCTATACCACTTTAGCTACGAAGGAGCGTATGGGTTAGTAAGGTCTTTAAATTACAAACTTCCCATGACGGTTCCGTATAGGATACAGGTTCGATTCCTGTCGGAGGACGCATACTTTCTTTGAGATTTCTCGGACATTCAGGCCGGAAAAATTGTTAATACTGTTTATTATAAACAGAGCATTTACTTAAATATTGGTGTATGTATAGATAACGTATAGCAATAAAATATATTAAATTAATTGTTGAACTTAGTCCATTTCGTGTATATATATATATATATATATATATATATATATATATATGTGTGTGTGTGTGCGTGTGTGTGTATATATGTGTGTGTGTCTAAAATTTTATTAAAAATTCTGTGTATACGTCTTGTATTTTTTCTTCAAAAGGAGAACACTGGAAACCTATAAATACCAGATACATATTAGAAAACTACACACATTTACACAGTTTATATATATATATATATATATATATATATATATATATATATATATGCGCGGTGCTTTTTAGAAAGTGCATAAAATGTGATGATCGCAAAAGCGTGAAACCCAGGATCACAAACTCATATCCATACAACTGAATATATATATATATATATATATATATATATATATATATATATATATATATATATATATATATATATATATATGAAGACGTGTGAATTAGTAGGTGTAATATGTAATCAAATCTTTATATTCGCATGATCTATATCATTGATGCTCTCACGATATCATTTATACGCCTAAAATATGTCTCCCTCGTGACAGATGTCAAAATATATCTCCCTCACGACAGACATCATACGTGTGTCTTTTGTCTGGCAGTAAACTCCACCCGAGTAAGGCTACCTGTGATTTTACTTTCATTATTCTTTTGCCTGTATGCGGCTACTTCTTAATATTGCTATTATTATTATTCTGTTCATATCAATACTCATGGGCCTGGAGCAAAGGGTATCTAGTACAACCAAGAACTGAGTGAAGAAATGTATGAGTGTGAATAAGAAAGTTCTGAACCTCGATAAATGTCTTGAAAGGCCCTGAAAATTGTAATATCTTGTAAAGCTCTAACACCCCGAAGAGTACAAAGATTTGAAAGGCTCTCAGACTCAGAAGAGTGCGATGCTTTGAAAATTCCCTTACAACTAAGGGCGCAAGACCTTGAAAAGCTCTCTCATATCCCTAAGGGTACAAGTTCTTGAAAGATTCTCATGCTCTTAAAGTTACAAGAAATCGAAAAACGTTTATACACCTAAGGATACAAGACCTTGAAAGGCTCTTATACCCTTACGGGCACAAGATGAAAGGCTTTCATAGTCTGAAGAGCCCGAAAATTCTCATATTATTAAAGGTACTAGTTCTTGAAAGTTACGCATAACCCTAAGGGTATAAGGCCTTGAAAAACACCCAGACTCCTAAGGATACAAGTTCTTGAAAGGCTTTGATACACCTAAGGGTATTAGGACTTAAAAAAGCTCTCAAACTCCTAAGAGTACAAGTTCTTGAAAGGCTTTCATACCCCTAAGGATATAAGGCTTTGAAAAGTTCTGGGATGGCTGTGATACCCCTAAGAGTATAAGGCCTTGAAAAGCTCCCAGACTCCTAAGGGTACAATTTCTGAAAGGCTTTCATATCGATAAGGGTATAAGGCATTGAAAAGCTAAGAAACCCTTAAGGGTACAAATTCTTGAAAAGCTCTCATATCCCTAAGGGTAAAAGGCTTTGAAAATCTCTCAAACTCCTAAGGGTACAAGTACATGAAAGGCTTTCATACCCCTAAAGATATAAGGCTTATCAAAGCTCCCAGATTACTAAGGGCATATGTTCTTGAAAGCTTTCATACCCCTATGGATATAAGGCCTTGAAAAGCTCTCAGATTCCTAAGGGTACAAGTTCTGGAATGGCTTTGATACCCCTAAGTGTATAAGGCCTTGAAAAGCTCCAAACTCCAAAGGGTGCAAGTTCTTGATAGGCTTTCATACCTCTAAAGGTATAAGGCCTTGAAAAGCTACCAAACTCCTAAGGATACAAATTCTTGAAAAACTTTCATACCCCTAAAGGTATAACGTCTTGAAAAGCTCTCAAACTCCTAAAGGTACAACATCTTGAAAGGCTCTCATACCCCAAAAGGTATAAGGCCTTGAAAAGTTGCAAACCTCTAAGGGTACAAGTTCTTGAAAGGCTTTCATACCCATACGGGTATAAGGCCTTGAAAAGCTCCCCGATTCCTAAGGGTACAAGTTCTTGAAAGGCTCTCATACCCCTAAGCGTATAAGGCCTTGGAAACCTCTCATATTACTAAGGGTACAAGTTCTTGAAGGGCTCTGATAGCCCGAAGGGTATAAGGTCTTGAAAATCTCTCAAACTCCTAAGGGTACAAGTTCTTGAAAGGCTCTGATAGCCCGAAGGGTATAAGGTCTTGAAAATCTCTCAAACTTCTAAGGGTACAAGTTCTTGAAAGGCTCTCATTCCCCTAAGAGTACAAGGTATTGAAAGGTTCTCAAATCTCGAAAAATACAAGATTGTAAATGGCTCTCTTATCCTGTCTTGAAAGGCTCCGAATAATAAAACTTAAACCCGGAGCAGTATTAAGATGCATATATTAAACCAATCGAAATAAAAATAACAATGAATTGGAAAATGTAAAAAAAACATTTGAACTTTCTTATGTTAATTTCAATGCTTGTATAAGTATATAGGCAGTTATAGAAAGCGTCTGGTGTTATTTGGGAGAGAGAACAAACGCTGGCCAAAGTTCACTTTATTGGCGGGAGATGTAGACACAAGACATCCACGAATACGAAGAATCGACCTTAGACATATACACAAAACAATTATGCATACAATATCTACATGCATGCCTTCTTTCTGGCGTTCGTGTTCTTTCATGGGTGTAATCTCAATAAAGAAGTTAAATAAGTATGCAAACACCCCTGTTTTCCTTTTTCCTCACCAACGGACGAGCACACTCACCCACATATCTATATCTGCATACATATATATATATATATATATATATATATATATATATATATATATATATGCAAACACATACATATATATCTGAATATAAGAGTATACATATAAACACCTGTGCTTATATATATATATATATATATATATATATATAGGTATATATATATATATATGTGGACATATATATACATCTATATATATATATATATATATATATATATATATATATATATATATATATATATATATATATATATATATATATATATATATAATGAAGGAATAAAAGTAACCCTGAAAGAAATATGTTAATGTAGTTAATATTTGAGTATAGAGTAAGATAGTGTTGTTGTATTGTTTACATTCAATGTTACTTTATCATGATCGCCAGGATATTTTTGGCGGGAAAGGAAATTGATGCCGGAACATTGGAGCATTCACAAAATTCATTTCACCTTCCTGGTTGTTATTCAAATATCGATGACTCATAAGTAAGATTTTTCAGAGTTACTTTCATCCTACTCATTGAATATATATATATATATATATATATATATATATATATATATATATATATATATATAGGTGTGTGTATTCGTGCGTGCATTTGTTTACTAATAATGTAATGAGTCTTTTTTTTCTGTCATAAATCTCACTTATTTGTTACGTAACTGCTACGTTATTTGTGACAGATCTTGTCGCACAGAGTATTTTATGTGCCGCCTGGTTTCTATTCTGCGAACTTTCTGAACTAGAACCTTCTTCAACCTTGATCTCTTCATCAAAAGTCTCTTTATCGTCTGAACACATTAAGCATAGTGGTGTTTGTTCGTCACTTATCGGTGACGGGTCTTTTATCGACGGTGGCAGAAGACAACTCCTCGCTGGTCTTGGTTCCGTGGCAAAAAGATCTTTTATTGGCCGATTCCTATCGTACGTTATTCGCTCGGACATTGTCCGGTGCGGTACCTCATTATACGATAAACACCGATACGTGACACGTTTTTTAATTCGCTGTCCAAGATCGGACAAATTTCTTTGCATAGGTCGGCTTGGATTTCGTACACCCGTTGGAGTATTCGGCTCGCTGGTGTACTGTTTGTCTACGAGGATAGGGCGCGGTTTTATGGACGACAATGGCTGGGGCTTTTTGCGACTATCAGCCGGTGGCCCTTCCGAAGCTCCCTGTCCACCCAGGACGCGTCTGAGGACCAACTGTCGATCTTCTTTGTACAAGTCAATAAGCAAATCCAATTTCGACTCAATGTCTTCTACCTGGAAAAAAAAATTAACGAATTTACATTTAATCATTTTAGCATTACATAAGAGAGAAAAATATTCGTTTAAAATATATATAGTATTTACATTAGTCGGACTATTGTCCTCATCTTTGTCGCCATATTTGTCACAACGTTTCGGCCGTTGTACGCTCCAGCCTTCTTCAGGTGGTTGGAATTTCGAACTGAACCCTTTATTTTGATCACTGGGGTAGACTGTTGTAGTTCCACGTGGATATCAGTTATCTCCTGCTAATTTTCCCTCTGGAAGTTCTCCACTGCCTTAACCGGGTATTGAACTCACCTTTTTTGGGTCTGTCACTGGATCTAACCAACGCCTTTATCCACTGTGCCATGTGTCCTTGAGGACATCTGGTTATGAACTTCTGGGTATTATTATTTTCAGCAACTATTAACATTAGGTTTATAATACCCAGAAGAAGTTCATACAAAGATGAGGACAAATATGTAAATACTGTACATAATACGTCATCTCAGAAATATAGACAGACTCTAAAATATATATATATAAAAGTGAACATAGAAGTCAACACTTAGAGGCGACAGTCTGTTTCATGCTAGACGCAATCGTCAGGCCACTTTATCACTTTATCCCATAAATATAGCACACCTTAAGACTTTATATATATATATATATATATATATATATATGAAGAAATATAGTTTTAATGTGTGCTATATTTATGGGATAAAGTGATCAATATCAGAAGTAGATCGTATGTAAATATAAATATAAAAGTGAACATTGAAGTCAACACTCAGAGGTGACAGGCTGTTTCATGCTAGAAGCAATCGTCAGGCCGCCTGAAACATGAAACATTTCCCCGAACTTTATATATATATATATATATATATATATATATATATATATATATATATATATATATATATATAAGGTAGGGGGGGAACTTTTAATCAGAACCTGATATATGTCTATTTACATACAGAGTGATTGAAAAGTAACTTCCTATTTTATGTACCATCCAGGTGTGTCCTAATTTAATATCTTGTGACTTTTTTCTTTGAGGGGGGGTTGGTTGGTTAAAAGAGCAAGTCTACTACACCAAACCAAGATTTTAGAAGAACATGAAGAGTAAATAGCATAAGAATTCCTGGTGAAAGGAGTTGAGGCCATTCCTGTAATAGTACTTAGTTTACTTTCACTAGGAAAATGCTTGACTATTAATGCGAGGAATTTATGACCTAATTTGTTCTTTACCATTTGGTTGTATGGGAGAGTATACCAAATAATTCTTCTACATCTGTTTTTTCTATGCTTTCCATTTTCATTTTTTATATAAGTTAGTTTTGGGTTTTTGTAGCCACTCTCTTTTAGAGCCTTATTATAGGAATTGATATGCTCAGCGAAAATCTTGTCATTTGCTGAATTTGTACTAATTCGTTTACTGATAGATAACGGTATATGCTTAATTATAGATGGGGGTGATTTGATTTAGGGTGTATATATAAAGGATTGGTGTTGGGTTTTTTATAAGGTGTGTATGTATTATTATTTAGATCTAATGTTATATCTAGGAAGTTCACTTTTTTTAATTTAGTGCTAACCGTAATTTTTAAGCCCATGCTTTTAAATTCTTTATATAAAACCTTTTCTAATTTTATCTATTTTGAAGTTAGTTGAGTTTCATCGTCTCTGTACAAACCAATGTCATTTATATTAATATCATAGTGCGCTGTAAGGTTGTATAATATAAAAAGACCAATGAGATCAGAAGGCTCATCTGAGTCTAGTGATCCCATTGTGATGTCAAAGTGGTCATAAGAATTCTTAATCCATTGCTCACCTTTATGTATAAGTACCGATTTTTTCGCATACAGAATAATGTTCTTTTCTTCATCTGTAATATCCGTAGAGTGGGTGGCAAAGTCCAACACATTCATAAATAGTTCTTTAGATATTGATTGGTAATAATTATCTATATCACACTGCATTAGTGTACAATTGTTTTTTTCATTTTATGTTAGTAAACCGGTTTATCACTTCCTTGGTATTAATCCAAAGGTTTAGGCTTATTTTTCTTTTATATATATATATATATATATATATATATATATATATATATATATATATATATATATATATGGAAATTGATTTGTTTTTTTTTAAATACATCCAGGTAATAACGGGACACGTAAGATTAGATGTGAATCAAAATATGTTTTTTAGAAATGTGTTATTGTTAACTGTAAGAAATTCTGGAGTGGGCGGTCGCAACGCTAAGATTGAATATTTTGAAAATTTTAAAGAGGGTGCGTTTTTTACTAATATGGTAATTGGAGAATTCTTTTGTTGTAGTAGGTTTTTTTCAGTCGATGTGGCATGAACTAAATTAAATAAATAAATAGAGCAATGTCACTGCTATTATCCCAGAAGTTACACGTCGGATCAGTTCTTTTTAAATCAATTTCCATGCCTGATGATGTCTGTATGAACAGATGAAAGTACTAGCAAAAAAAGACCTTATACAAGTTGAATTTATTAAAAACAGGGATCACAACATTCATCTAGAGGTTCGTGGGTTAATGTAATTTTAATAAATTTGTTTGCGAATATGTATTCTCGCCATTTATATCATTAACTTCACTAATCTATTTTTTGTATGAATGATTCATGTAATATATATATATATATATATATATATATATATATATATATATATATAACGCATTTAAAATTCTGAGGCGGATCATGTATTGGGCGGAGGAATTTACGTAGTGTTTTGTTAACAATTTGAAATTTTTCATGCCATTATAGACACAAAATTTCGGTCAATTACTCTCTGGTCATCGTCATTGTTTGGCTGATATATGATATCTATTGATTATTGCGTTATTTTGGCACTGTGATGCCAGTTATTGCTCGTTCTTGCTAATTCTGTTTTTCACTTCCTGATCCAAGGGTTGAACTCGTAGTCTCTGCTAGATAGCAACGGCCTAGTGGATATAGGACTTTTAAGGAAATTCCTATATCCACTACGCCATCAATGGAGCCTTTATATTCGAATATATATTATATATATTTTTGTCACTTTTATATTTGAATCTTTTAAAAAAAAGAAAGGCTGTTACTCACCTGCCTTTCTACCTTGACAACACGTGATGCGAGGCTAACCTTGGACTCATAAACGTCTTTATTTTTACTTCCCGATTTACCAAGGATTTGATCCAGTCTGGAAACAGAAAATAAGATTCAGAAATGATTATTATTCAAATTAGTGATTAAACTCTTTTTTGAAAATTTTATCTTCAGCCCATATCACAAAATTTCACAAGTAATGAAAAGACAGCCATGATTATCTCCCCATTTTTAAGGAGCTCACTTTCCCTTGAACCTGCTTTAAAACTGTTTTGAAACCTTTAATAAATAATTTCAAAACAGGTTTAAAAATGTAAAAACTAATGTAAAATGGCAAAGATGTCAAAGGAAAAAAATTGATTTATGTTTTTTTTTTGTGAGACATCGCTCTCTAAAAGGCGATTCGATGTGTCAGGATTTAATAAATTATTCAATGTCAAATTTTATACAAAGACATTGGCCCGAATTGAAAAATGTGATCTGTCTTTTTGAAGAGTTGGCAAGAATTGAAAACTTAAGGAAATCTGGTTATAACTTTGAACAAAGCTAAAGAGGTTAATCTGGTAATGACATGATACCAGAAAATATATTAGGTGCGTGGAAAAGGTTATCATTTATTTTTTAACAGTTTTTTTCTAAAGACAGCTCTGGGAACTTTTACATATATTTAATAGATAAAAAAGACTTCACAAAAATACTCTTCTATTTCCCAAAATCCCACTTCCGTTCTGCTTGACTACTCAGGATTTAACTGACAGTGGTAAGATATATTTCATATATATATATATATATATATATATATATATATATATGGAAGGTAGCGTAATCGTAATGGAACCAGTAAAATCTGACTAAAAATCATCGTCATCATCTTCATCGTCGTCGTCATCATCAACATCGTCATTATCATCATCATCATCGTTGTCATCGTCATCATCATTGTCATTTTTATAGTCTTCGTCATCATCGTCATCATCATCCTCATTTCCACCGTCATCATTTTGCAATTAAATATTAGTGGCTGGTAGGAAAAATGTCTTTCCCCTCCCTGACAGACGCAATAACCTTATGGAACTCGGTCCCCCCCCCATCTATATTCACCCGAACTTGCACCAACCGATTATTATATTTTCGGATCCCTGCAAAAACCTTTGATGGGGAAAATTTCCTCTAATAAAAACCAAATTCAAGAGATTGTCGTAAAATATTTCACATCAAAACTTGCAGAATTTTGCTCAATATGTAAACCTGATAAATGGCAAATAATGGTGAATATAGAATTGAATAAAATGTAATTGTATTTTATATTTGACGAATTGTACAATTGATAAACAAAAAAGGAAATTATTTATGGCTCAACCTAAGAGAAAGAGGCAATTGATTCTTTCTATTAAAGAAGGTTTTCTCATTTTGGAGATTAAACACAACACAGTCTTTCTTTTAGCTTTTTTCTTTGATTTGACCCTATGCTGGACTAATTTAAATTGTTCATCGGAGGTAGTGCGCTGGACACTAATATTGGCCTGCAATTTGCATTCCGGGACTAATTACTCCGAGGCAGATGCCAGCCTTCATTAACAAGTCATTAAGTTAATCAACATAAAGATTACTAATTAGGTAGGTGATCTTTTGCGTTATTTACGATACTAAAAGTTCGGTCCTAGAGTTTGATCATTTTCGCTGCTGGGTAGTATTTGGTCGATTCCCTTATTTGGTTGAGTAAATATGTATTAAGCTAGATCAGTCTGGCAAAAGGCCAAGATTCTAGAACGCTCGGGGAAGACTGACCTCACGAGACTAGCTAGCTAACTTACCCTAATCGCTGTGAGTAGGTAAATGCAAACTTTTAATATTGCATGATTACCTACACCGTCAGGAAAAATTGTAAGAAAAAAAAGAAAAAAAAAAAGAAGCTAATAACGATCTGTCCAATTTATCCTAATTCATCGATCTGATTCTGCTTATGCATGTTTATGGATCGATCTCAGTGTGTCTACTGATACAAGATTTCTCTGTAAAGTTGAATATCGTGTAAATTGGTTGCGCGGACTTGATGGAACTTGGCAATCAATCTGAAGGAATCTTACTCAGTTGGTAGCGAGATGCTACATAAAATGAATATTCGGATCCACCGGTCTAAGCAATCGAAAGTCTTAATAAAAAAATCCGCCTCTCAGCAGGCATCAAACCTGTGTTTATATATATATATATATATATATATAAAACTTTTACATTTTATTTATAAATTCAGACATGAAAACAAATTTTTACTACGTTACTTAAAAATCGAAAACTGAAAAGAATAAATAAAAATAAACCAAAAAACGAGTCAAATAAATTAACCCAAGCTAATAATAAACAAATTAACAAACCAGTCCCGTTAGAATAGACGAAATAGAACAAATAAAAATAAAAAGGAAGCCCATAAAATACAAGTCAAAATAATCAATTCAAATAAATAAAGTAAATAATAAACAAATTAACAAACCAATAACCATTAGAATAGACTACAACAATCAATCCAAAAATTAGACGAGAAAATAGCTATAACTGCTATATAACGAGAAACAAAATCGAAAACTGAATAAATAGAAATATACAAAATAAGCAAATAAATAAGAAAAAAAATAATCCTAATAAATAAATAAATAAATGAACAAATTAACAAATCGCTCCCGCTAAAATAACCGTTAGAACTAATAAAAATAAACATAAATAAGCAAAAACAAGTAAAAATGATAAATCCAAATACATAAATAAATAAAATAATAAACAAATTAAAAACTGTACCCGCCAGAATAGCAGAATAAACTACGGTAATCAATCCAAAAATTGGATGAATAAATAGCTTTATCTTCCCACACCAAATATATATTAAATAAGTGACAAATCCCCAAAATTTTTTTACTACGTTAATAAAACGTCGAAAACCGAAAAGAATAAATAAATATAAAATAAAAAATAAAAAACAAGTAAAATAAATTAACCAAAATAAATAAATAAATAAATAAACAAGCCAAAATAACCGCCAGAATGGATTACCCACAATGCACCACTGACCCATATATATATAAATAGTCATGAAAAATCCAACCCTCGCGGCCTGATTGCGTCTAGCATGAAAAAGCCTGTCGCCACTGAGTGTTGACTTCAATGTTCACTTTTTATCTATATTTACATACGCTCTTTCTCTGATATTGAGCACTTTATCCCATAAATAAAACAAACCTTAAAACTATATATATATATATATATATATATATATATATATATATATATATATATATATATACAGACTGGGTTCTATAGCCTTGAATAGCCTCTATAGCCTAACTGGTCTAGGAGAAGGACAACTCTGAATTCAAAACCTGCGGAGTGCCGTTTGGGGACCTTGTGCACCAGGTCTTTGTATTCGGCTCCTGTGCTTGGTCCTGCACAAACTCTTCACCACTATAATCAAATCATATGTACAGGTTTTTGATTATAGGTCCCTGGGAACTAAGTTGCTTGACCCTCATACGTCGATAAACTGTCTTGTATGGCGATGAATGTTTCCAGATGTATACGCCCAGATGCTACATCTTGTAATTAGGATTTGAGCTGATACCACTGTCCCATCTATATTAGCGGTCGGTGTTCAAGTTCAGCTAAAAACAATGACTCTAAATGCTGATTTTCAAGAAAGGTAAGTCGTCTTCATTTGAAAGATTGGCTTAATCTTCTTATAACAGCGCCTTTTTATGCTAGACTAACACAAGCGTCGTAAATATCTACTGATTGAATTATATACACGAGTCAGCCAGAAATTTTACATAAATTTGTTATTCTATGCATTTTTATAAATATGTATAAATGATTCTTTTGGCATTTATAAGATCTACACGCATTTATGCGTCGAAAGAAATTTAACGGATTTCATAAAGCAACTGATCCTTGTTTTTATTTCGTTTAAAATTCTTCCAGCCGATTTGCTTGCAAACTGATGATGCCGCTTTCAGGAAAAATCGATTTATAGTTTTTCCCATTACCTAACGTCGGCATTCGCTATATTTTTTATTCCTTTCTAACAAAATTCTGACACATTCTTTCAGAATAATAAGAGAAAACAAATCAAGCATGCGAGAAGCATTTAGAGAAGTAATTTATTTCTATTTTATAATTCTGAATTTTCGGATGGCTTACGAAAAATATAATCATTGTAGTTAGTGTATTTGTTCCATAGATCCTCTGTCGCGAGTTCGATCCTAATAGTTGTCGTCTAATGCGCTGAACAAAAATAATTTTCTGGAAAATGATTCAGGTCGTAATGATATATATTTTAGAATTGCAATCTCAAAAGGAATATCTAATAAGTCTTATTCGTGCTGCTTAATTAAGATTAGGAATCAAATTAAAGGCCAATTATCTTGTTGTTTGTTAATTCGTCTGGCGCCAATTGAAATAACCTAAATTTTAGACGTCAAATAGCAGGGGAGAAATCTGTCTACATCGTGGGTATTAATCGTCGTCTAAGGGACTTCCTGATCAACAGAAAAGTGCTTATTGCAAGATGTTATCCACGCCCGCCTCAGTGCAGAGTATAGGGTGAAAGCATCACCCTGTTAGGTGTTGTTACTGTTATTTCTCTCGTGAGTAGTTTTTTTTATCGATTAGAATTTGCAACACGCTGACACGTGTTTAATTCTTACAGCATTTAGTATTGCTGCAGTTATCGCTAACATTTTTGTCAACATTTAAAAACTCTACGTTTCGTTCAATTTTACAAACCAATCGATGAAGTCTAAATAGGCTGAAAAATTTTTTTTTTTCCTTTTTGATAGCGAAGAATAAATTTTTAGGATTTCTTACTCTTCAGCATGCAACATACAAATGACCACGCGTAAATATTTTTTTCTGGAGCCAAATTTCAACTTTTTGAAGCGTTTGGTCTTGTGATTTGTTTATAGTTTTCGTAAACGCAGGGCGAGCTGGAAATTTTTTTTTTAATAGTGGGCGTATTTTCTATGTTACATGATAAAATTTTTAATTTTTCCAAAAAGATTAATGAGAATTTATTATACTAATCTACGCACCCTGGTAAGACCTACTGTAATTTGCACCCTCTAAATGTTGGCACAAAATTTGGTTTCGATCGGTCAATGTATAGCTATATTAGGGGGTGTAAGGGACAGACGGGCTAACGGAAGTCACAGAATTATATATATATATATATATATATATATATATATATATATATATATATGGATTAAATTAGTACATATACGCGTACCTACGTTTATGGTGGCAACTGTAGTTTTGCTGGGTGGTGTTCTCAGTTCATCGTCCATGGGGTCTATGTTGCATAAATAAATTTCATGCATAAATTTAACGATTATTCATTTGTTTGCCTGCATATGCAAACCAGCACACGCGTACACACCTGCTTATATTTGGCCGTTTCATTTATCCAATCTACAACTATATATATATATATATATATAAATATAAATAACAATAGGAAAACTGTAGTTATTACTTCGTTTCGTCCAATGTGGATTTATAAATATTGACTTTTCTACAGGTTAACTCTGAGAAAATTTCATATATATATATATATATATATATATATATATATATATATATATATAATTATGTATAGATAGATAGATTGGAGTTGTCAGTCCCGCACCCAACCTGTTTTGAAATCAAAGTTTCCTTCTCTTTTTTGTTCTTTTTACAGAATGGGTGACCCTGTACAAAGCCCGGGGGCATCTTGAGGTAGAGGGTTACATTAAGGGGTAGTTTATACGGACAGGAGGGGAAGATAACGGTTAACTCTAGACTAAGATTCCAGTGATCGAGGAAATATCCTCTTGGGAGTTGGTTCCAGAGAGTAGTGATTGGCAGGAAGAAGCTGTTTGAGTGGAATGCGTGGGGCGGGCGGAAACTGGGGTTTGTAATTACTTTTATTCCCCAAGTACTTTCTATCTCTTTCTGGGATCATCATCAGGGGTGCAACCATTATGGCAAAGCAAATGATGGAATGTACTTGGGAAATAAAAGTCATTTTCACTGTTACAGTGCATTTCTTGCATCATTTGATTGTAAAACACGGAAAAATATCCGTGAATATGAACGGATTATGCTAAAAATAAGTTTGTAATTTATTTAATGAAACATGCCTAAAAAAGAGTTTGCTACCTAAATACACACACACACACACACACACACACACACACACATATATATATATATATATAGTCCGCCCCCAAAATGTATACACACTTTAGAAAAGGATAATTTGTATAGATATTTTGGTACTAAATGTATTCAGATATTACGAGATTAATACAAGGTACCTTTGGACTCTTCAATCACAAGATATGCTCAAAATGGTGGCATTTAGCCTCCAGACATTTATCAGTACGGCTGCTGGGGGCACGTTGGCAAAGTACCCCGTGGGATTGCTGCATATCAATTTTCAATTTCTTGTCTAAGGGCCGACAATGTAGACGATTTTCTGCGGTACGCAACATCCTTTAGACCCCCCCCCACCCGGTAAGTAAAAGTCTGCATGTGGTAAATCAGAAAAATATCGACTACAGTAAAAAAAGTATTATTATAATTTGATAAAACTACGAAAGACAATTCTTCCAATTCCTTAAGTATGTATACATATTTTTGGTGGACTCTGTTATATATAAGTTATAGACTACAAACATTGAGTTATTTTTTATTTTTTATTTAGCAACAAAAAGAAATTAATCAAAAAGTAAGAATAGTAATTAAAAAAATTTATAAATTTTTCAAAAAAAAGAACGAGTCATTTCTTTGTAGTATTTCCAAATCTAGAGTTTTTCTTTGATCTTAATTTTAGTGTCTTTTTATCGCAATCTTTTCAGTTAATAGCACAGCTCGCCAATAAATATGCTCACTGCGTGATTCGAACTCGCATCCATCTGTTTCAAAATGCTTGACGAATCGCTTGTCTTTCGACTGAATTTTATTTTAAGCGTTTCACCCCAAGCAAGGCGGGAAGCCACTAGCACGCAAGGGGTTACAGAGAGTTGGAGCTAGAGCAAATAGGAGTGATAGAAGAAAGAATGAAGAGAAAGTTAGGAGATAGATCAGGGCATCTGGAGACGTCGATTGACATTACATTTGAATAGTTGGAGATTATAGCTATCAGGGAAACAAATTTCTGAGGGGAGGGAGTTCCACAGGCGAAAGATGCGAGACATGAATCTATTGGAGTAGAAGAGACGGCTACATTTAACAGTTTCGACAGTGAAAGGGTGAGAGCGAGATGCAAGCCTAGTAGAACGCTTAAATTCATGAAATCGCAGGAGTTACTATAAAAGTATTGATAAAAAAGACAGAGGGAGGCAACGGCACGTCTGTGAGAGAGCGACTGCAGATGAGATGCCAGATCAGGGCCAATTACATTGCATATCCGTCACTGAAGAATAACAACGTGATACGTGTTACAATTCCCCCTGGTCTTCCCGAACTGCCAAATTTAATGACGACCGCAGATTGACGATTTGAGCAGCTGCGATAAAAAGCAAGTGAAATGAAGATAAACAGAAATACATGTCAAAAATGAAAAATGGACAGAAATTCCAGAAATTCAGATAAAAAATATCACATACCTTAATTGTAGGTTTTTAATTCGACTCAACATGTCCACGTGGCCAGCCGAGTATTGTTCAATGACATCTTTAACATCGTACGGCCGTAAAGCTTCTCGAAATTTGCGTCTGGCTACGAAATATTTAATTTTCCGTATGGCTCGGATGGCGGCTTTGTGAGTATCTGTCAGTTGGGTGACACGCGGGGATAGATCTGGTTCTTCTGAAAGTAACCGTAAACACTATCAAAATGCAAGGCCAATTTAACCGCTTCCAGAAACGATGCTATTACAACACCGCTCCTTCCCAACCCCAACCCAACCAAACTTACTCTTTGCCCTGAGGGGCGGGGGGGGGTTTCGCATGACAAGGCGTGCGTGAAAGCTGGGGTGTCAGAAAGTGTTGGGAAGTGGAATAAAGCCTGAAAAACCTTCAATGACATGCGTGCGTCGAAATGTCGTTTGCGCATGCGCACAATATGAGTGGTTGAAAGTTCATCGTATTCGTTGAGTTTCTTGAAGATGGATAAACTTTTTACATACACAGCGACATACATACATACATACACATATACATACATACATACATACATACATATATATATATATATATATATATATATATATATATATATATATATATATATTGTGTATGGGGAAAAATATTTCCATTTTGTAAATTTTATGAGATAAGAATAAACAAAAGACGTTAATATCAAGCCTCTCAGGGAATTTCCTGTATTTTTTTTCTGTCTGCCTGCCTGTCTGTCTGTCATTGCCTACACTTTTCTCTGTGTCTCTCTTTGGTTATCTCACTCTATCTTTTATTGCTATCTTATATATATATATATATATATATATATATATATATATATATATATATATATATATATTTATTTGTTTTTTTTGGGGGGGGGCCTTTTGTTTATTTGGTCTTGCCTTTTCATTTTGTTTTATTTTCTCCCTTGCAGTCTATTCATTTGACAGGCTACCGAAACGAAAACCGCAGATTTTACCATTATTTGAAGTGATCTATCTATCCATCTATCTATGGCGGCGGTTCAAATAATTACAAGCATAATCACTATATATATATATATATATATATATATATATATATATATATATATATATATATATATATATATACATAATATTAAAACGCAGTTTTGTACAGTTATACCGTTTAAAAGATACATATTTAAACATTTATTCGCTAAATATAACTTTAAAGGTAATAAATCCGTTGGTATATAATCCAAGTGGATCCTAGTAATATAAAATATTAAAACTGTTCCATAAAAAATCACAATGTATTTATTATGTCAGAGCTAATAAATATTATTAGTCTATCGACATTGAATAAGACTGACTAAGTTTTCGTCGTTTGAATTAGATCTATCCACCATATGAGGCAATTTGGGATTTTGTTGTGTAATGCTATATATATATATATATATATATATATATATATATATATATATATATATATATATATATATATATATATCGCACATATAGTGCTGGTGTCAATAAAACAGTCCTGTATACTCAGCACCTGAAGATCGAATTGTGCATGAAACTCCGAACTACGCTATCGGAGAGTGATAATATATATATATATATATATATATATATATATATATATATATATATATATATATATGCGAACACAAATGTCAACCCAAAGCCGGTTACATGCTGGAACGCAATCATCTGGCCTTAGTATATACTTTTTTACTTAAAACTACATTCTTATCATATATATATATATAATCGACTCTCCTGTCGAGATTCGACGTATGAGGGTCAAGCAGATCAGTTTCAGGAAACCGACAGCCCGACACCGGCACATGAGATTTGATTATAATGGTGAAGGCCTCGTGCAGGACCATCCACACTTTTGAAGGGACGAATACAGAGACCTGGTGCAACTGAATGCCACAAGGTTCCCAAACGACCGCATATATATATATATATATATATATATATATATATATATATATATATATATATATATATATATATATATATTTCATTAAAAACGACAGACAAGGTACTACGGTTGAGCTTTTATTATTTAATTTTTCTTGTGTTCTGACAAGAGCTTTCTTTTCTGGACAAAGAGTGTGTAAGAACTGTCCGAATGTTCTGTATTTCCGAGCGCTTTGGCTATATCTTTTAGCCATTATCAAGGATGATTCAATATCAGCTTAGTAGAGTGTGTATGTTCTGTGTATGTTCAGTGTGTGGTAGTGATGTTTTTAGTTTCCGAATACGGTTAGCACATTGTGGCTTTGTTCATAGTTAATATTGTTAAGAGTTGGCTTTTTTTTTTTTTTATTATTAGAGCTTCCATTATTTTTAGTCTTTTTTGCAAGTGGATGCAGTTAATATATTTGTGTTTTCTACTAGTATGTTCCTAATAGTGTCGGGTAAATCTGAGTGTGTGTTTAAATGTGTTCTGATGGAACTGTGATCAGATAGGTGTAATGTAAGACGTCTGGATAAACATGTGGTTGTGTAGCCGATGTAATTATTTATGAGTCTGGTTTGGTGAGGAACGCAGTTCCTTAAAGGGCATTTGAACTCATAGATAATGTTTGTTCTTTTGTAATTTTGACTTAGTTGGTGTGTTGTTATTTTTGAGGATAAGGTTGGCTGTCTTAAATTTTTTTTTATAATAGATAATAAGTTTGATTTTTTTTATTAGGATCAATAGGAGTAGTATATTTCTTTATAATATGTCTTAGAGAAGATTCATCTTGTTTGTAATTAATATGCATTTGGTTTTTGTAATAAATGTGTATGTGATTTTTAGTTGTGTGTTCGCTATCGTTATTACTCGCTTTGGGGAGGAATAGTCTAATTTGTTGGTCTATAAGGTAGTTAGGGAAACCGTTGTTAATTAGTGTTTGTTTAACGTTGTTAAGTTCTTTGAGAAAGAGTAGTCGAGATGATGAGTTCTGGTGGGCCTCTATTTAGAAAGTTTTTTACTACGGCTATTTTGTACCTAAGTGGGCATTCGCTTTTGAAATTAAGGTGGCACGAGTTTTTGCTGGTGGGTTTTTTGTATAATGATGTAATGAAAGTGTTATTGTTGTGTTCGACGAGGATATCTAAGAATGGGAGTTTGTTTTTTTGGCTAAGTTCATATGTGAAATTAAGGACGGAGTTTTTCTCAAATGTGGTCTTAAGTGTCTCTATTTCTTTAATGTTATCAGCTAAAATGCAGATATCATCTACGTAGCGAACATAGATTTTCGGTTTGTGGACCTGTGTAAATATAGCATTTTCTAGGACATATAATAGTTGGAGAAGCATGGACCCAGTGGATTTCCCATACTAACACCATTAGTTTGGGTATAAATATTGCCATTATGGTCATAGAAGGACTTTGGTTGTGCATGCGTGTAGTAATTTTTTAGGATGGGTGGTTTGATGGATGGCGGAGGGATGGAATTATTATTGTAAACGGAGTTGAGGATAATATCGATAGTTTGGTCGACAGGACGTTTGTAAATAAGTTTTCAACGTCCAGTGACGCTATTATACCTTGGTTTGTTCCTTTGTAGTTTTAAAATTTGTAGGAATTCGTGGGTGGAGGTGATGCTGTAATTGGTAGGTAGGTATGGAGTGATGATGTCGTTAAGGAATTTTGATAGCTCGTAGATGGGTGTTGGTATCTGGGAAATAATTGGTCGTAGTGGGTATCCGGTTTATTTGTTTTTATGTTTCCATATAGGTATATACAAAAAACCCACCAGCAAAAACTCGTGCCACCTTAATTTCAAAAGCGAATGCCCACTTAGGTACAAAATAGCCGTAGTAAAAAACTTTCTAAATAGAGCCCACCAGAACTCATCCTCTCGACTACTCTTTCTCAAAGAACTTAACAACGTTAAACAAACACTAATTAACAACGGTTTCCTAACTACCTTATAGACCAACAAATTAGACTATTCCTCCCCAAAGCGAGTAATAACGATAGCGAACACACAACTAAAAATCACATACACATTTATTACAAAAACCAAATGCATATTAATTACAAACAAGATGAATCTTCTCTAAGACATATTATAAAGAAATATACTACTCCTATTGATCCTAATAAAAAAATCAAACTTATTATCTATTATAAAAATTTAAGACGGCCAACCTTATCCTCAAAAAATAACAACACACCAACTAAGTCAAAATTACAAAGAACAAACATTATCTATGAGTTCAATGCCCTTTAAGGAACTGCGTTCCTCACCAAACCGGACTCATAAATAATTACATCGGCTACACAACCACATATTTATCCAGACGTCTTACATTACACCTATCTGATCACAGTTCCATCAGAACACATTTAAACACACACTCAGATTTACCTGACACTATTAGGAACATACTAGTAGAAAACAAATATATTAACTGCATCCACTTGCAAAAAAAGACTAAAATAATGGAAGCTCTAATAATAAAAAAAGAAAAAGCCAACTCTTAACAATATTAACTATGAACAAAGCCACAATGTGCTAACCGTATTCGGAAACTAAAAACATCACTACCACACACTGAACATACACAGAACATACACAGAACACACACACTCTACTAAGCTGATATTGAATCATCCTTGATAATGGCTAAAGATATAGCCGAAAGCGCTCGGAAATACAGAACATTCGGACAGTTCTTACACACTCTTTGTCCAGAAAAGAAAGCTCTTGTCAGAACACAAGAAAAATTAAATAATAAGCTCAACCGTAGTACCTTTTGTCTGTCGTTTTTAATGAAACATGCATAAAGGAAGGATTGCTGCCTAAAATATAAATATATATATATATATATATATATATATATATATATATATATATATATATATATATATCTTCAGGCAGGTTTTGTTAAATAATTTAGACACTTCTGTCTACTTATTTTCGTTAAGATCTCTTCATATTCGCTTTCATAAGCTTTTCTGTGTGGTTGTTAAAAGACAAGAGGAAAATACCGTGTTGGTTCATATTGTATTTATTCCGAGTACTTTCGATATAGTATAATGTCAAGGGTATTGATAAATATAGAGCAAGTATTTAGTGTTCATGATTGTGAAGGCCAAAATTTGTTGTGGTCATCCGAAGATTACCATTTTTATATGTAGAATCACGAACGCTGTTATTTGAATTATCCCGGCCACTTGCAGAAAACCAACACCGTTTATAAATTTAAATGTCCTCTTGAAGAATGCATCTCCAACGTTAAAAATAATATCTATGTTGGACACACGACAACAACGCTTTCACGTAGGCTAAGTCTTCACCTGAATAATACTTTTAATATTTCGAAACACTTACAACATATCTGTCCACACTCGCAATTCAGAAAAATCCTCGTCGTAAATACCTCCATACTTTTCCACGAAAAGAATAAACACAAACAAAAAATTCTCGAAGCTATTTATATCAAAAAATTATAA